CGTCCGAGTTCCCAGTGACATGGAGGCGCAAGTGCGTTTCGCAAGAGAACTATTCGACCTATAGTCGCGAGTCGTTGCGCTGTTTTCCACTTTGGCCGCTGCTGCAACGTCAATAGGTAGTCGTTTGACCACGATTTCCAAAACTTCTCGGTAGTGTGTTGCAACAATTGCCAGCGGGAAAGACGTGATTCGTTAAGATCGAGAACGCTTGGCTGTGGCGCGGCTAGAATGGGTCCTCCGATAAGGAAGTGTCCCGGCGTTAATACATTATAATCATCGAAATTTTCGGACACGGCGCCAATGGGTCGAGAATTAAGACATGCTTCGATACGACACAGAATTGTAGTTAATTCTTCGAATGTGAGTGTATGGGATCCTATACAACGTTTCAAATGGTACTTGACACTGCGCACGGCAGCTTCCCATAATCCACCGAAGTGGGGCGCGGAAGGTGGAACGAAATGCCACTTTACTCCGTCGGTCGAAAACATATTTTGAAAATCCGAATTTTTGAGAGCATTTGTAATTGCGATCCGAAGTTCGCGATCGGCGCCTTGGAATGTAGTTCCATTATCTGAATAAATCGATGCAGGATATCCGCGACGAGAGACGAAACGATGGAATGTGGCGAGAAAAGCTTCTGACGAGTAGTCGCTGACGAGCTCGAGATGGATCGCTTTTGTAGTCATACATACGAAAACGGAAATATAGGCTTTGTGCGCCTTATGACCTCGTCCACTAGAGGTTCGTACGAGAATCGGACCGGCATAGTCGACACCGGTATGTTCGAATGCTCGAGTTGAGCGATTTACTCTGACATTCGGAAGGTTGCCCATAAGTTCTGTATGAAGCTGAGCTCTCTCTCGTGTACAGGGTACACACTTGTAGAGTACAGCACGGACCAGAGATCGTGCTCGTAATATCCAAAATTTCTCGCGAATACGAGCTAATGTTAGTTGAGATCCAGCATGCAGAGTTCGTCGGTGGGTGTCCGTGATAATCATCCTGACCAGGGGATGGTCCTTTAGGACAATCGGATTACGAACGTCATCTTGTAAGGTGGCGTTCCTAAGCCTGCCACCGACTCGAATAATTTGGTCATGATCGAGATACGGATTTAATGAAAGCAATGGGCTAGATTTCTTAATCGGAGTCGCCTTGTTTAGTGACGACATCTCGCATGGGAATATTTTGGATTGAATGTAACGAACCCAGAATGTTTCAGCGGACTTGATTTCAATCGGATTTAAGTAGGTTTGAGTACCAGGTTGTCGTATCGTCGAGTTGCTGACGGTATTCCGAGCGCGGGAATTGTTTATGAATCTATAAAGATAGGCTGTTATTCGGAGGAGCTTGTGCCATGACGAATAACGCTGTGCTAGATCCCACTGTATTACAACGAAAGTAGTGAGCGACTGTGTTTGCTCGCGTTGTTCGCTTAGCGCGTGAGGATCGAATTCCGAGTTAGATTTAGGCCAATAATCGGACGATTGTCTAAGCCATTCGGGACCTGACCACCATTGAATGTTTGTGGCCAGGTCGTCTGGAGCGATTCCGCGCGAAGCGCAGTCGGCAGGATTCTCTTTCGTCGAGATATGACGCCATGGAGTGTTAGGAAGTAACGTGTGAATCTCGGCTACTCTATTGGCGACAAAGGTCTTCCAGGTAGTGGAAGGTCGGCTCAACCAAGCAAGGGTGATTGTGGAATCGGTCCAACAATGAACGCTTACGTCACGAAAGTCGAGAGATTCGAGAAGAAATTCGATGAGCCGCGCGAGTAATTGAGCTGCCGATAGCTCGAGTCGCGGAACACTCATGGTCCTGACGGGAGCGACTTTTAATTTTGCGGCAAAGAGATTGACCGAGACCATTCCATCCACTGTGATGACGCGAAGGTACACTGCTGCGGCGTATGCTTTCGTAGAGGCATCTGAGAATCCGTGCAATTCTCGATTCAGTACGTGATGGCCGAGTTGAATCCAGCGTGGAATCGTCACCTCTTCAAGTTTGTGAAGATGAGTGCGATACTGCTGCCAGGCCTCAAACAGCTTCGGCGGAACGACTTCGTCCCAATCACATTGGGCTATCCAAAGTCGTTGCATTAAAATTTTGGCACGAATAATAACTGGCGTTGCCCATCCGAGTGGATCGAAAAATTTAGCAATATCGGACAAAATTTTCCTTTTGGTATTGCCGGGTGAACCGGCAATTTTTACTGTAAATTGGAAGATGTCACGATCTGGTCTCCAAGTGAGGCCGAGAATTTTTAGACTTTCATCTTCGCGTAAATCTCGGTTCTTAGCTAGACCGTGGTCGGTAGCGTCGATCTCGTCAAGGAGTTCAGGCAGGTTGCTTGCCCACTTTCGAAGCACGAATCCACCTTTTTTGAGAAGAGAAACAACCTGCTCGCGAGTTTGACGAGCGAGAACCTTGTCATCGGCACTGAAAATAAAATCGTCTACGTACATTTGACGATCAAGAACTGAGATGGCTAACGGAAAGGAAGCGCCTTCATCGATAGCGAGTTGGTTCATGACTCTTAATGCTAAATAGGGGGCTGACGTCATGCCGTATGTTACGGTACAGAGACGATATGCTTCAACCGAGAATGTTGAAGACGGCCGCCAAAAGATGCGCTGATAATCGCGATCGCGAGGATCGACGAGAATTTGACGATACATTTTGGCCACGTCGACAGAGTAAACGTATCGAAATGTGCGCCAACGCAAAATTACTGCTGCTAAGTCCTTTTGAAGTTTCGGGCCCTGATACAAATGATCGTTTAATGACGTTCCGTTGGATGTTCGGCTTGACGCGTTAAAAACGATACGTGTGCGCGTTGTGAGGCTGTTAGCGCGAAATACGGCATGATGCGGAATGTATACGATTTGCGTCGTGTCATTCAAGTCTTCGGTTTCTGAGACGCGTTGCATATGGCCAAGATCAGAATATTCCTTTAAGAACGTGTGATATTCCGACGATTTCGATGAATCTATGTTAAGGCGGCTTTCGGTGCGAAGGTAATTTTGAAACGCGGAATGTCGAGACTCTCCAATATTGATTGGAGGTCTGGTTTTGAATAGAAGTCTTACGACGTAACGACCTTCGGAATTGCGAGAATGCGTTGAAGTAAAATGGTCGTCACAAGCCTTTTCTTCGCTCGTTAGTTTCGATGAAATGGGAACTTTCTCGTTTTCCCAAAATCGACGGAGAGTTTGATCAAGTTCGTCCACAACGGAGATGTGATGGACGTCAATGGCTTGTCGGGAATGCGATCTTGAGTGCGCTGTAGGCCAGGAAATGATCCAGCCTAATACGGTATTTTGAGCG